AGAAACTAAACAGAATTTTTGAGAAATAGACTGACATAGATCTAGTTGATCACTGAAGTCGTGGCTGTGCCTACCCATGACATGTGTGACAAGTCAAAGAAAAATGGACAGGGATGAATGCATGGATCATGTTGGGAAAATAAATACACTGTTGGCACTGTTTTAAAATATACGGAAACTATTTACAAAGTAAAGGTAATTTTGTATTACAGGAAATCTTTGATTTTCTATGTATAGCTTTTTCTGTGTTTCTATGTGTGTGAAGGGCTTTTTCTCATCTCTAAATGTTTTATCTGGTACAATGAAAGTGGAGTGATTAACAAGCAAACTTTCTTTCTGCAAGAATATTCACTATTTTTTTATTATTTGGAAGAATACTGCCTTTCACCTAAAACTTAAACAAGAAGTTCCTGTTTTTCTCAACTTGGTGTATTCAGAACTTTTGTCTTTATTTTCTACAGATCATGTTTATGTTCATCTCCATTCTTAGTACAGTTAATCTTTAGTAGGTCATGAGTCAACAACAACAGAGAGGAAAAAAAAGAAACAGAGAAACATATCATCAGTTTATAAACCAAAGATCTGGCAGCCATCAGATTTCTGTGCTGCAAACACAGCTTCATGTCATAAACCTTCCATAGGTGACTCTACTTCATGATTTCCTTGCAAACATGTTCTATAGAAACAAAACATGGTGCCATGGCAACTGTCCTGCGCTTGCTATACTTGTCATACTGAGAGCTGGGGCACACTGGCTGAGCGGCCAATTCTTTGTGATTTCATAAAAACCTCCAGTTAACTGTATAAGGTAGAGTTTGTCCTCTGTGTCTTGTTCCCAACTTCCCCCAACCTCCCTTGACTATCAAATTGTGATTTTCCTTTTTCTCTCTCCACTCTGGATTAAAGTGCATTCAGGGACTACAAATTAAGGAAAACCAAAACGCAAAGGTAGCTATCTTGGAATTAAAACATCAACAAGTATTGTCTGGAACTAATATTAATTACCTTTCCCTTCCATGGTCTCCTTCCATTAAATGCAGGTAAATGAAGGATAATGTAGTATAACTTCCTGGCCCTGAACGAAACAAACTTTCATGACAGAAGCCAGAAGATAATTTTTTCTTTTATTGATTATAGAGAATGCTTGACTTTGAATGATTAAATTGTACCAATTTAGTTTGCTCTGAGATCCCTGCTTCAATGATTAAATTATAAATTTCCAAGGAAAATACTTGGAAAAATTTTAGGAGAACCAGAGTAAAGGAAAGGAGACAAGGTACTTACACTATACCAAGCACTGTTCTGAGAGTTCAGTATGGATTGTGTAGCATAATTCTCTCAGAGGGCCTATAAAGTAGGGTTGCCAGAAAAAACACAGGACAACTAGTTTAGTTGAAATTTCAAATAAGAAGAAAATAATTTTTAGTAAAAGTATGTCCCATACAATGTTTGGGCATCCTATTTTTTTATTTTCTAAGTCTGGCAATCATTCTGAAAGTTTTTTTTTTTTTTTTAAAGAAACAAACTTATTATCCCTATTTTATAGATAAGGATGTGAGAAATAGAGTAATTAAGCCATTTGTTCATAGTCACACAGCTGGAGCAGTAAAGACCAAATTTGAACCCAAGCTGTCTGACCTACATACAGACCATGCCACTAATCACTAGATATAGTCTGCTATGTGCCTATAATTCAGAAAACAGAAATGTTCGGAGGTCCCTGGAAGATTTACTAAATTAGTCTAACTTAGGTTCAGTAGATGATTTCCTTGCTTTTCCTCTGTGATCCAAGAAAAATAAACCTTATCCAACTCTAAAAAAAAAACCTGTTCTTGTCAGAAAGAACAGAAAACTGTTCTTGCTTCTTATTCCTGCCTACGGATAGTCACAACACGATCTTTTGGGGGTTGAGGGCCTAAATGGAGATTGAACCCGGCACTTGCACACTGAACTATGTCCCCAACTCTTTTTTTTTTCATCTTGTTTTATTTTGTTTTTGAGTTAAAATCTTGCTGAGTCACTAAATTGCCCAAGTGGAGCTCGAATTTTCAACCTTCCTGCCTCAGTCTCCAAGAGAGCTGGATTACAGGCATGCGCTGCCACACCTGGTACACCATGATGTATCTAAGCAGTCACCACAGTGCATCCCTTGGAATCCTGGTTTGATGATTTCTGGTTTTGCTTTGGGGTTTGGGTTTTTCTTGTTTATTTTTTTGAGACCGAGTCTCACTATGTCATTTGGGCTGTGCTTGCACTCACTGAGTAGCCCAAGGTATGTTGAATTTGCAGCAATCCTCCTGCCTCACCTTCCAAGTGCTGGGATTATAGGTGAGCAGGTATTACAGGGAACTACTTATTAATAGGTGCTACCTGAGGAAAAAAAATTGACTTCCAAAGTCAAGTCAACTTTGGAACAGAAAATAGGGCATATTGTGCTAAAAGGTCTCTATCAACATTCCTTAGTCTTTAACAGGCACTGTTACTGCATGTGGTGGCACATGCCTATAATCCCAGCACTTAGGAGGAGAGCAGTGAGTATGAGGCTACCTTGGGCTACATAGCAACTTCAAGGTCAATCTAAACTACATAGTGAAACTCTCCAAAAAAAAAAAGGCTCTGGGCTGGTGAGATGGCTCAGTGGTCTAAAGCACCTACTTAGAACAAACTTCACAAAGCACAGAGACTGCAGTTCAATCCCCCAGCACCACATGCCAGCCAGCCCCGCCCCCCGGTGGGCTGAGCTGGCCACACACACACACACACACACACACACACACACAAATAAATAAATAAATAAATTTTTAAAAAAAAGGCTCTGAGGCCTTCAAGGAAAGGACCTAAGGATCTCTAAAGATCTAGTACCTTGTTTCCTAAAGTGACTATGGCACCCAGCTCTCCCTCCCCGCCCCCCAGAGAGAGCTCAGAGAATTTCTGTTTTTAACTTTACAGAGAGGCAATAGTGGGTGTACTGAGTCCCAGTGTACCCATCAACCGGCTTAAACAACTTTCACTCAGGGCCAATCCTGTTTCTTTTGTATGCCCCTTCATCTCCCACACACACCCACATGGCTTTTTTGAAGCAATCTCATGTACTAGATTATTCCACCAGAAATGAGGAAAGGTCATTGCAAAGCATCATCTCTCCCGTATGCCAGGGTGAAACCACAAAGTGATTTCAGACCAAAAGAAAAACTACTCCATCTCGTTCTACTAGGGTTTCATAGAGAAAGGGATGACGAATCACATTCTCGTTCTTGATGCCATCACATGGTTCACATTCTTTCTCACACCTAGTCTCAAGCTGACCATCTAATCCCATTATGGATTTTCTAGTGTTATTTTCCAGAATAGAAGTTGCAAATCAGATTTAGGAAGACATTGAACAATCATTAATTCAAGCTCCACCGTCACTGGCCAGGTTTAGACCAGACACATGTCACTTAATAATATATCTGAGTTTCAAGTGTCCCAAATTGGAAGTTGGGGTAACAATGATAACTATGCCTCCTACTTCACAAAGTAGTATTTAAGATCAAATGATATGATTACATGTGCAAATGTGAACTGTGATTCACATTTGAGGTGCTACCAGGACTCACTGGTCTAAAATGGAAGCTTTCTAATTTTTTGTATAAACTCTAGATGACTTTAAGTATCTTCTTTTTCAAATTGTGGTTAAAATAACAAAAAATATATGTAGCATCTTAATCATTTAAAGTTTCCAGTACAATGGTATCACATGCATTTACATGTTATGCTGTCTACTATCATCCATCTCCAGAACCTTTTCATCTTGCAAGACTGAAACTCCTTACCCTTTAAACAATACCTGCCCATTTTTCCTTTCTCCTAAATCATGGCCACCTCTGTCCCTCTGAGTTGAACTTTTCTCTACTAGTTGCCTTTTTCACCTGCTTCTTCTACTGTCCTCAAAGCTCTAGGCGGTCAATCATTATTACAGAACTTATCAGTGTGCGAGGCTACCTGTGAGATGTGGAGAGAACAGTGAAAGGCCAAAGGTTTCAGAAAATTATCATAAGCTAGACTTTAGCCTAACGACTTAGCTTGTTTGTGCTGTAGGGATCCCCACCCATGAGTTTTCACTTACTTGGTCCTGGGGGTGACAGAGTTGTGATGACTGGGCAGAGAGAGGCTGGAGGTGAGAACAGAGAGGGCTATGACCACAGTCCACAGGAAGCATTGTTGAGAACTAGATTGGACTAGAAAGCAGTAGAATTGGAAAAGAATGGCTACTACTTTTAAATTGTGAAAATAAAACTCCTATGGATCAAAGTGAACTTGAAAGAAAAGACAAAAAACACGCAGGATCTTGTGTCAGATTCAGATCAATGAAAACATGATGACAAGATAAAGAGAAGGTACATAAAGGTCAATAAACACTGGAAAACCTTCAAAGAGATATGAGGTATAAACATCAGA